TCGCGATGGAGACGCACGGCTGAAGCCTTATGTTCCTGTAGGAATTAAAGGATACAATAATAATAATTAAATTCACGCGGATTATAAGATTTGTCGATTTTGTATGCTACTTTACACAAAAGTGACTTTATTCTTCTTAACACATGTATCTTCGTGTTATGCCACTTCAACACACTTTTATCTTATAATTCCTGTCTGCTTCTCTGAAGTGCAATCATTCTAACCAATGCCGGTTTGTACAAGCTTTTACGATGTCTCTTCAGTCATTCAGTTTGGGATTATGAATTTTTATTATTCCCTTGAGTTCCGAGTGAAGCATAGAACTTCAACGGTAAGTCTCCACTTTATCCTGTTCTCTGAGGTCCCCTCCGTCTGGTCACACGATTGCTTATAGGCTTCCATATCTTCCCGACGCCACCTGCCCCACGTCAGTCACCATCGGACACCCAACTCTTGTTTCTCACTTGGGTTCTACTCAAGAACCTGTAACGTGATATTATCCAATAGTTTCTTCAATGTGTGTCCAATCCTCCTGCATTTTCTTTGGCATATTTGTTAAGCAGTTGGTCCAGTTGGTCTTGATTGGTCCATTCCCAGAGCTTTTTGTTGCTAATTCCTTCTGACTGGCTATCTCTTCTTTAGTATACAGTCAGCGAAAGCACCTATTGATAAGTGTCTGGAGTGACCTCTTAGAAATGCTCTCCTTAACGCGTTGATTAAGTTTCTGACCAATAGAGAAGAACTGACTGACTTGACACTAGTGTTGTGAATCCCAATTTCTCCCTTAGTGCTGAGTGCAGAAGATTTTCAAACTGATATCAGAGTTATGAAGCTCTGTCTTACCTTTTCCAATTCTGATTTTGATGTCTTCATCCGTCCCGCCTGTAGTTGCGATGATGCTGGTTACCAAGATAAGTGAAGGAAGTTACCTATTTCAAATTTATTCCACTGGTAGTGATTGGTGCTTGTTGTTGTTGCTGTTAATTGGTTGGTTGTCTTCATCACCTCCGTGTTCTCTATGTTTACTTGAAATCCTGTCTTTCCCGCTTCTTCTGCTAGCTTGTCGGTTTCCGCGTGTAAAGCTTTGAGTTTGTGTTACATGAGACTTAAATCGTTGGTGAAGTCCAGATCTTCTAGATTCTTCCTATGGATCCAGAATATTCCTGTCTTATTGCTCCCCACCCACGGTGTGTCGCATAATCCAGTCCACCACAATTAGGAATATATTCAAATGTTCCTAACTTTAATAATTCGATCTCTAAAGTCATTTATATGCAATTGTAACCAGAAAATGACTTTATATAATTCCTTCCCTTGATGAACTCGAACAATACATTGAGCATGTCAGAGCATATTTCCAGGAACTTGAGACTGAACAGTACAAAATCATCAGTATTTCTATTACTCCTTCCATGAAAGATGTTAGCCGTGTAACCGACGTTTTAGAATTATTTAAGATAGTTATAATAAAGTTAGTCTCAATAAGCTACGTATCTCAGAAGCCACAGTGAATGAACGGTTAAAACCCAGTTTGTGCATTCACAAAGAAACAGTCATAAATCTTTCCCTACTTCAGTAAACTTTGACAGTATCATTTCATACGCCTTACTATTCTTTTGCCTTTATCCATACTCTTCGGATGAATATTTGAACTCTAGTTAACTTATAATTACTCTTATCACTTTAAATCATCAAAAACGTAACTCTTACACAACATGTGGTAATAATTTTATTATTTTTCTTTGTGCACGTGATAAATGTCCAGATTTCGTTCTTGACTCCGGAATATCTTTGTAACGCTTTTAAATATACCAGTAAGTTTACTGACACTTGTAATCCTTGTCCTTCGACTCCTTAAGGATTCAGTCGCGTAATGATAATGGTTGGCATTCACGTATGTGTAAATTTCGTAAACTGGTTTTATTTATCAACCATTTTGAAAGCTTCCACAGAGCTAGTAACATTCCGTGTACAGTTAGGCATATTCATCATCAGAGTTCTGCATATCATCATCCATCTCTAACCAAGAGACAGATAAAATCTATTCACAGCTCTTTTTTAGCCTACCTCATAGACAGTGAGCGAAAATTTGATATTAATGAAGCATTTAAAGTTGTTTATCGCAATCCGACTAATATTAATTTTGCTTTACGAGTTTGTCTTCTGTATTCACAGCCGAAGCTAACGGAATCCACTTGAAGAAGTCAAACCTGTGTGTTCATAAGAAATTCTTTTCATTGGCCACCATTATATGGATATAAAAACTGACAATCTCCTCTTCCCTTTAAGCCTTTTACAACTTATCATTGCCCTAATTATTATTTTATTATTCTAGCTGCTTCATCTTTAATTGCTTATTAAGTAATCGATTTTAACAGCCATTTGCTTCTTAACTACTCCACTTAATTTCCCAAAATTATACACTGAGCAATCCATTTGTTCAATTTTTGCAATAATGTCTGGTCTTCAATTGTTGGAATTGATTTTAATATTGCAAAAATATTCATTCAGACATCTATAAAACACAAAATAATCGAGCAAAGAATATTCTTTTCGATAAATTCCTCTTCCAGGCTCTACAATTATATATATGTTTATATACACAGAATATTTTAAATTAGTAGTTAATAACAATATTAGCGTTTTTTTTTAAATAATATCGATTTGTAAAGTATGGTCAATGCTATTGCAGTTCATTAAAGATGCTTAAATTATAATAATAATAATAATAAAGATATAACAGCAAATAGAATATCAACTAAAATTAGGGAAATTTCACAAAATTTCTGGATTATTCAAACCTGGATGGCCAAGGTAATGATAATGACTGGACTAACTTCTTTTGGGTGCATAAATTAGGCTTGTTAATATGAATCCCCACAGCCTCAGCAATATTTAGAAGTTGAACTCTTAAGGGAAATTGAGATTCGTAGGTATGCGGTAAATGACCCTGAAAGGTCAAACAAAATCTATTCGCAGCGCTATTCTGGCGCATATTGTGGAGACAGAACACAAGATTGACGTTAATCATGCTTTCAGGGTCATTTACCGCATACCTACGAATCTCAATTTAGCTTTAAGATTTCGACTACTAAATATTGCTGAGGCTGTTAGGATCCATATTAACAAGCCTAATTTCTGCATCCAAAAGAAGTTAGTTCAGTCATTATCATTACCTTGGCCATCCAGGTTTGAATAATCCAGAATTTTTGTGAATTTTCTCTAATTTTAGTTGATATTCTATTTGCTGTTATATCTTTATTATTATTATACTTTAAGCATCTTTAATGAACTGCAATAGCATTGATCAAACTTTACAAATCGATATTATTTAAAAAAACGCTAATATTGTTATTAACTACTAATTTAAAATATTCTGTGTATATAAACATATATAATTGTAGAGCCTGGAAGAGGAATTTATCGAAGAGAATATTCTTTGCTCGATTATTTTGTGTTTTATAGATGTCTGAATTGATTTTTTTGGTTAATTCTCACCCCTTGACATATTGATACTGGCTAATCATTGTTAATCAACTTACCACTGCTAGAATGGTAAAAAAAAGCCATGGAAGAATATTCAATTGAAAGGTATGTACTTATTCGCTCAGTGTTGACGTTGTAACAGTTTTTGGTTGGATGCAGTTGATGCAATCCAACGAGATATATATCTTGACGTCATGTCACACTGAGAAATTTTTAGTCCTTGTTTTGTACAAAATAACTGTCATCGTACAAAATGTTTTGATAAATACAATCTAAGTCATAAATCAATTCTCTGCTGAAATTAAACATTTGACAACTGGTGTCTCTGTTAGCGATATTATGTTATTGAAATATCTTTGTTGGAGTGTCTAATTGACACGGGTTCAGCAATCATATTTTTGTAACTTCCAAATTCCCAATTACGCATTTATGGAAAAAAAACAATATACTGAGAGAAGAAATATATTCCTTTTCACTTAATAGTTCCTCATCATCGGCTCTACTCTAATATATATAGACTTTTACATCAAAATTTCACCAATCAATTAATCATTTCAGTTAACCAGTTTAAGGTATACGCGGGTGAAATTAAGAGTTTGAAAACCAATAAAACAACTAACTATTAGATGTTACTAACAAGATATCTAAGTTAATTAGGGAATTCAAGATAAGTTAATTCGTAAGCGTTGGCAATAGGT